GGGTAATTAATGATAAGGACTAGGCCAGAATCTCCCCTAGGGATATGGCAGCCTAGAGAAGCTGGCCCAGAGGAGGACTGATGCAGATACCACTTGGCACCGTGCCCATGATAACTCACAGACCTGGTGCCAATGACTAAGGAGGAACCGTGCTGCATACCCAGCAAACTTGCAAGGCAAGGGATTCAGAGCTACAGACTACCACGATGCACGTGGGAGTGAAAAACACAGACTTTGGGGACTGAAGCCAGTTAGTGGGTCAGAAGCTGGGCTTTTTTCATTGCACAAAGAAGACCGCAAGTAGAAGTCACAACTTTAACATGCACCTTGAAATGTGGAGTTGTATAAATGTAATTGCATTGCTGCCCAATAATCTGGGCAGCAAAAGCAGCAGTCAGGGTCACAGTGGACATTCTAAATTGTACTCCTGACCATGGTAATGAGGGATTCTGCTGAGGGAAATGTGGCACAGATCAGGTCACTTGTGCTTTGTCAAAGAGGAGTTTATCTAGGTACAGAGTGAAGCTTATTTTAGAGCCAAGAATTCACATTGGAACTTCAGCTTCTTCCCAGCACCTCTGCACAAGAGGAGGGCCACGTATGGTAATGGACGAGGAAGGGAGGCAGCTGGTCCAGGTCCACCAACAGCTCTGGTGAGCGGAAGTGAGTCTGGCATACCAGGGGAATCAGTGTCTTGAGTCTGGCCTGTATACAACCAGGCTGGAGGTGGCCCCAGCAAGGAAACAATCTGCCACATCGTCCAGAGGTTACTAATCTCCACATCATGTCTCCCGAGAAGAAATGAACTCCCCAAAAGGATGTCTCCCTGTACCCTCTCCCCAAACTACACAGGACTGGATTTACCCTTTCCTCATTTAATCTTGTGCTGAACCTACTTTTCCCCTCTTCCCCTCACTGACTGCATTTCCCCTCATACTTCCACAAACTCCAAACATTCCCTTCTGAGTGAAGGGTAACTTGCAAGCTGCATGTTGCCCTGATCTCAGCCATGACTTTGGATAAGGCTGCACCTAGCACCTTTGACACCAATCCCCTGTTCTGTAGCGTTTGTGCCCTGTTTTCAGGACCGGCTTTTGGGGAAGCACCAGCTCACATGCTCTGCAAGTCACGTAACTGGTGAAGTTGCCATGTCCCATTTTTCTGCTTCAGCAGTGTTGTCTCTCTGCAACATCCTTAGAGGGACTGCAGCCCATGTCCCCTTATTCTCATGAAATAACGCCTGAATGTCAAACAGGTAGTAAACATGATGCTCTTTGTTGTAATGTTCCTTTCTTTTATACACTGAAGATAGTTACATTCAACTTCCTTTACCTGTTGCCTTTGGGAACAATAAAATACTTAAAAGAAAAAAGCAGCAGCTTGTAAGATCCTGTTCCCATTGATAACCACTCAAGTGAACATATCACTTAACATTTATGACAATCCAGCTGGATGGAGTCATGTCCATGATTGATAGCTATACTTAGAAACTTCATGGTTTTGATCAGCTGAGACAGGATCCAAGGGGATTAAATGCTGGATGACATCTCAATGGAAGCCATAGCACTGGGAAAACGTTTATATGTTGGGATAATGGATGAATGTGCTGCTCCAATGCATAAATATTTATACTACACAGCTCTGCTGAAAACAGACAGGAAACCTTTTGTCAAACCAAACTGAAGGGAATAGCACTTACATGCTGAATGCATAGACTCAGTCCCTGGATGTCTGACTTCTACTGACAAATAGCATATAGCTTTTTTGATGCATAAAGTGGCAAGACCTCTACCCAGACATCCCCCTACCAGCAATCGTAACGATGGGGCGTCTTATATCCCCAAAAGCTGATGGCCAGTGCTTCACAAGCTTCTCCTAACCAAGTTCAACTCCTTTAAAGGACCTCTGGAGTTGATGAATACACCTTTGATGAGGGATGGAGCCAGTCTGTGAGTGAACAGCAGCAGTATTTATGTTCTGCAGTGGGGAGAAGAGATCTGAGACCACAACACACAAACTCAGGCAACGTATCTTTAACAGGGCTGTAAAATTTAAGGGACCTATGAAGTTATATACATATAAGGTCTTTCGGTAGGCACTGGGCACCTTCAGTTTTGGGGTTCCTACATGTCTGTCTTGATACTCTTGTATTCAGACATTTGAGAAGTGACTTCAAAAGTCTGGATCTCCTCCATAGGTCTGATGTCCCAGTCTGATTGTGCTTTGGTGCCTGCTGCATAAGCAACTTGTGTCCCATTCAGTATGCTGCTGCTTTATCACTTCCCCACAGCAAAGCTCCCAAATCTGCTCTACAGCAATCCTGCATGTAACACAGGATGTGCAGATTTTCTGCCAAGGAAATATGGCTGTTGAAATGGTTAACTTCAGCTGTCAGCATGGGCAGGAGGAAATAACCTTGAGGCAAAGAAAAGTCAACATTTTCCACAGGGATCCATCTGGCAAAGTTAAGATATCCCTCAGTTATTCTTTTTAAACAAGCATCACTGCCTAAAATAAAAATCTAAAAGAAACTCTAGCATTGCAAACCTAAAAACTATAGCCACAGCCTTTTTACACTTAATTTGTTAATGTGGTATATATCCATACTTCATGGGTTGTTACTAACATCACATGTATTTTACAATAAAACCATATTTGGACAACTTCTCCATTTCTCTAGTCATGTTTGTAGCTCCCAGCTTTCCTAGACATTTTACTATGTCTTATTACAAAGGAAGCCTTTATACCAGTGTGCAATGTACGTATATGCTGAAAGGCTTCAAGTATAAAAGGTGACACTGTTCTTGGTTCTACAACCATGCTATTATCCTGACTGCAAGGCATATGAGACAAATTCTGTACTTAAAAAAGAAGCAATAAATATTTCTTGAGAAGCCTGTTTTTAAGAATGGCAGTTGTTTAAAACTTCTGGGAAGTCATCCTGCATCCCTGGGAGACAGATTACCAGGCAGGGGATGGAATCACAGGTGTATGCAAAATTGCGCACAGCTGCAGTGTGTGCCCACACTAATAACAACACATCTTCCAGCTCTCTCCAGGATACCACTTCCATATTTGCATATGTGATGCATTTACCCTACACAAGGTATGTATCATTGATGACATTACTAAGACACGTCCTCGATCCCAAAAAGAGTAGGACAGTGTCTGCAATGTGCTGACCTCCATCAGCTTTCTCTCAGAGCTCACTCTCCTGTCATTAGGGAAGAAGAGGGTAGCATACCAAGGACATGCTTATCACAGTGGATTCCACCCGTGGCACCCTGATGGGATCTCAGGGGCACTGAGGGGTACTCACTGATGCTCAGCCTGTCACTGATGTCTGGTTTTGCTCAATTCTTACTTCTCTACTGTTCTCTTATCTTCCCTTCAACTTGTGCTGCCTTTGCTGTCTCTCTCCCTGCTTCCCACTGAACACCAAGTCTTCTGCCTGCTCTACTGATTCTTTATCTCCAGTGTTTGCCCACCCAGCTTCACGACTTTGAGTATTACCATGATAAGAAAGGGAGAAAAAACACCAAGAGAGACATGGTAAAAACCAAAAGAGGACAAAACAATCACAGATGCACTGGGGTGGGAAACGGGGTGCCATTTACACATCATCTAAATTAAAAGCCTAAAATTCCTTGGGGTGCCATTTACCCTGGCAATACACATCATCTAAATTAAAAGCCTAAAATTCCTATTACAGAGAGATACTCTTGTATGGAAACATCCTCTGGGGCACCTCCTTTTTTCCACTGTCTATACAGGGAGTTTAGCCTCCTAATTTAGGAAATAGCAACATGGATCCTCCCTGTTCCCACACTGAAACCACCCAATAGCAACCACTGCCTTGCGATGGTGCAACAAACAGGTAATCCATGGGGGTTAGAGGATGTAACTAAATATTCCTAATGAAAGAAACTAAACATCCCCTAATCCCCATGGCTCACCATATTTACTGTACAATCTCAAAGCAAAACCTATTCTCTGGTTTGTAAAAGTCCCTCTGCACTTTCAGCTCAAAGACATCAGCACATCCTTACATGCATGGACTAGAGTGCCAATTATGGGATGGGGACTTTGGACTGCTGTATAAACAAGTGCTGCTGCGGATAATACTGTTCCTTGATCAATACCTACTTTGATCAACTGATTAATGCTTTATTAAAAAAAAAAAAAAAGCACTTTACTGTATGGGGAGCTTACAGCTAAGTGAATGGTGGCACATGAAGCACTTTTCTTGAAAAAGGTCAGCTCACACATGCAAACCAACAGCAAGCTGAGGGATACCTCATGGATCTGACTGCACAGAGAAACCAAAAACAACAAACCAAAGCTTGGCTTAGGCTAGCAAAGATAACTGACTCTCTACAACACTGATTTTGAAAATTACTTTTGCTGATTGAAGAACATTAAAAATAGAAGTGAACCACAAAATTGGATTTTTTTTCCCATGCCCTCAGTATATTTTTATTATACTTCTGGTAATTATCTGGGTTATCAAAATGCTTAGCAGTCCTGGTTATTAGCTAGGACCCCACTGTGCCAGAAAAATGGCCATATGGCCATAATAGCAATGCCACTCATTTATCAGTTAGCATAAGGCACCACAATTCACCATGGCTGTTCCCTGATCCCCAAAAAGCACCCAGCTCCACTACAGAATAAAAAGACTTCAATTACGCTTCTCTGTGTCTGTAGGTTAAGAACTAAAAGAAACAGGAGTAGCAGCTGAATACCTAGACCACATAGTGTAATAAAAATCTGGTGGAAGTAAAGTGAAAAGAAATTCTACAGTAATCTACTGAGGATCTTGTGACATCCATGTAAGTCCCTGTTCAAAACATCCTCAAACTCTCCCTTGTTTTCACAAACTAAGTAAATATACATTCCTACAATAAAGCCATTTTTTATCATCAGAAGGCCATTTCAATTATACAGAATCCTTTCCCCAAGATACTGTGTTATTTCTCCTTCACCATCTACGAACTTACCCTCCAGCGTACAGAGACGCGTCACCTTCTCCGGCATCAGCTTTCCATGCTTGTGCTGACAGTACACCTCTGCGATCTCCTGCCGACACTGCTTAGACTTAGACCGGGACATGGCTGAGATTGCCTCTTTGCCCGTTACCTCACACTTTGGTGGTTGGTCGTATCTCAGTTCAGGGGAGCTGTTTCCATTTTTTTTTAAATGATGCTGTTTGGGAGACCTGTGAATCTCCTTCAGATCGCTGTTGTTGCTGCTGCTGCTGTTTTTTCTCGGGTGATCACTGAATTGCACCACCTCATTGGAGTTCTTCCCCAGCAGCAAGTTCTCCTTCATTTTCTCCTCTTCCAGTTTCTTTCTCAAATGCTCCTTTTGCTTGCTAAGGGGTTTTTTCACCAGTTCAGACTGGTGTTTTTGCCTCTGAGTCCTGGGAGCAAAGTTACTGTTATCAATATTTTCAAAGTCCTTGGGGACTGAATTTTCATTATTGCTGTCTGTTCGCATTTTCTCTTTCGGTCGGTGGGAAAAATAGCCATCCTATAAATGGGGAGAAAAATTATACTCATCTTACTTAAAATAGTCACATCCCATGCATTACAAGCATTTCTAACATGAAAACATAAATCAATTACAATCCAACACACTGCAAAAAATTCCCATATTAGGGTTCATAATAGAAAGATGGAGCTGACCAAGGCCTCTGAGCTGCCCAAGTCGGTGCAGATGACCACCACCCACACCTTCATCACCCATCCAGAGTCCAACTCCATCTCAGCGGGAGCAGGGAAGTTTTAAATGGGTTTGTGAGCAATTATTATCCAGAGACTTCACCCTGACACCATTAAAAATCAATGGCAAAAATGACACAGGTTTCAGTGGAGTCAGAGCAGGTCCTTCAATGCTCTCCTTCACTCCTTGCGTTAATGACTGCAGTTTGGTATCCCAGGAACTGCCCCATTTCTCTGCAGAAAGCACCACATGACTTTATAGCCTGAACTTTGTTTCAGTGAAGTAAATTTGCTACAAACCAAACCCTTCCTAATGTTGTTTTTTTTGAGTTTCTACATAATAAAACTTAGAAGAAGTGTTTCCTATGGGATGCACTGCAGTCTTGCTGCAGGTGGGAAGCTGCAGCAGCAACGAGCCCTGTGCAAGAGAGTGAGCAGCTGGAGACACTCAGGCTCCCCGGGAGGGTCAGAGCCAGGCTCAGATGTCAGCTCTCAACCATCATGTTCCTCTTGTCCATGCTGTGCACACTTGGATAAATACACAGACCATAACGTTGCAACGTTTAAAATACATCATATAAAGGAAAAGGAATAGACTGTGTAAAATATTTGCCTGATGCAGAATAACACTTCACAATTTCACCCCTGCCTCCACCTATTACCATAGGAACTCATCTTACCCATCCACAGCAGAGCAAGTTTACAACACCAAAGAAAAAGGAGGATTATCCCAGTGATCCTAGGGCAACAGAGAACATGGCAATGTGCTCTAGAAAAGATGCTAGAGACTAGAACAAAACAGAGACATTAATTTGTGTATACCACTACTAAATGGGACCCTGTCTGATGGCCAGGGGTGGGTAAGGTTGAGCTACCTTTGCTCCAGCTGCAGAAACTAGTCCTCAGGCTAGTGTGGGACACAATTTTTAGACCCATGGAACAGGAAATATCTCAATTTATTAAAGTGACCAGTAGCAGATGAAGTCAATGGGCAAGTGTTATTAAAACATCTGAAGACAGGAGTATAAATATTGATAGACTTTTTGAGTCTGTCCTGTTTTCTTTCCAGTTGTGAAAGACCTAACCAAAAATCAGATGACTGATGGGAGCCACTCTTAGCACCTATGGACCACATTTTGTATTCAAAACATTTTACCAGCATTAGCTAATTGTTTCTTACACTTCTTCTGTGAGGAACTATTTAACAGTCAGGTTTTGCAGAGGAAGGAGAGGGAGATAATGACTTATCGGAGGACATGTAGAGAGTCAGTGTCACTTTGACCTTTGCAGCTCAGCAATGAGAAATGTTTGAATAGTTTATTCATTAGAAGATGTGGTTCTGTGAGTGACTGAAGTGATTCTCTCTCCATGAATATCTCCAGCTCACAAATAGCTCTAGCTATCAGACACAGAGGAATGCATAGAAGTTAAAAAAAACCCCAACAAACATCCCCCACCCCCCAAACCAAAACTCAAATGTTTTTCAAACGAAGTATTTCTAGTTTGGAGAGAAAGTATGTTTTAAAAAAAAAATTATCTTCCTAATTTTTAAAGGCATACATGACATCAAATTCTTTTTTCTGTCTTATTTTTTTAAGAGGAAAAAAGAATAGCATTTTTTATAGAATCATAGAATCATTAAGGTTTGAAAAGACCCTTAAGATCAAGTTGAGTCCAACTGTAAACCTAGTACAGCCAAGTCCACCTCTAAACCATGTCCCTAAGCACCACATCTAGGTGTCTTTTAAACACCTCCAGGCATGGGGACTCAACCACTTCCTTGGGCAGCCCATTCCAGTGCTTGACAATCCTTCCAGTGAAAAAATTTTTCCTAACATTTAATCTAAACCTCGCCTAGCACAATTTGAGGCCATTTCCTCTTGTCCTATCGCTTGTTACTTGGGAGAAGAAGCCAACCCCCACCTCTCTACCCCCTCCTTTCAGGTAGCTGTAGAGCGCGATAAGGTCTTCCCTCAGCCTTCTCTTCTCCAGGCTGAACAACCCCAGTTCCCTCAGCCACTCCTCACAAGACTTGTGCTCCAGACTCCTCATCAGCTTCGTTGCACTTCTTTGGACACCAAAGAGAAAACAAAACACACAAAAAATAGTTTCAAGAAATCCCTCATTCCCATGAATAACCAAACTAAAAAAAAATCCAGTTATTTCAGAGCCCAGCTCCCTTCACTTAGCCTATATCTCCAATGCATCTTCAAAGAAAAAGACTGCTCCAAACCCAGCAAACTGCAAATAGAGCAAGACAAATGTAATGCTTATTAACATCATACCCAAAACATCTCCACTGAGGTGCCACTGCTCTGAGACTTCAGATGTTTGATAGTTGTCACATTCCCTTTGTTCTTCAGCCAACTCCAAAACCTCAGCTTAGTTATGCCACTTGTATATTTCGACTTGGTGTATTTTAGTGCACTCCGATCTTGGATTTGTATAAGTGAAATAGCTCAGAAACATTAATTGTTGTGCTGTCCCATTTCCTCTAAGCTTCTGCCGGAATTCACCTTTTTTCCTCATCAAATAATAAAATGCAAGATGCCCTGCACTCTTATGCATATATATATATATATATATGTGCATGCATGTATGTGTATATATGGCTGTACCATATATGTACACATATATGTACCATTCCCATAAGCACTCACCAAGGGCTTTCCCTTGTCTCTTTCAACTGTTTTATCCCCCAGCTATATGAAACTTAAATACAAGAGGCATCCAAGATGCTATTAATTCTACTAATAAAATGTTATATCCCAAACACATCCTGAGCTATTCTTTATAGGTAGTCCTTAAACTTCAACAGGTTAAGTATGTGAAATACAAAGGAAACTATGAAAAAGCAAACGTGAACTTTATTTGTTGGGTTTCAACAGCAGCAGTGAACAGAGAGCTACAGGGACCCCACTCCACAGTAATGCAAAGTATCCCTATCATTAGTTTTCATCATTAATACAGTTTAAAGCACTTAGGGCCAAAATACCTAGCTGCAATGAAGTGTGTGTGTGCACGCGTGCCGCAATAGGATAGTTCTGTGTATCTCGGCAACATTCCCTCTCACAGTCTGACTCTTGCGAAACAATTTTTGTCTTTAAGTTAAAAAAAAAAAAAAAACAAACCTAAATCCTAATCTGTACAGCAAATGGCATGTTGATAAATGGGAAAGAAAGTGAGAGGAGATGTTCAATGTTGTTGGTTTTTCATGGTAATTCTTATTACCCACAAATGAGACGTTGGCCTGAACCAGAGCAACAGGCACGCACCCTCCCATGCCCCAAGCCCTGCCCCATGCTCTGCCCTCCTGCCCCACCCAAGCCTCTCTGTAGCTTGACAAAGCTTCAAAGGATGAGGTGCGGGCCCATTCCTGTTTCAAACAGCATCTGACAGGATACTTATGTGATGTTTCAGTTGGGACCTTTGCTCTCCCTATTACCACCCCTGCGCCCATGAGTGGTCGGTCAAGCCCTGCAGCTCCCTCGGGACCAGTGGAGGCAGCAGCTCCGGGTGTTGAAGAGTTGAAGCGGAGCGTTCCCACCCAGCTGGTGCACTACACTTGCACAGAGCAGTAGAAAGCTGTGATGAAACCTCAGGAGAAAAAAGCAAAGTAAACAGCAGATTTACTGGTGTACAGTTCACCTCTTTAAACTGTTTTCCTCCTTCAAGTGCTTTGCCCCCCTCTGGGAAATGCTTTTCCAAGTCTACATGCTGGAATTCGAAAAAGACAAATGAATTTTAAATGCTTCAAAGGCAGACACAAAACTAAGCTCTGCTGTAACTCTTCCCTGCCCGTAGGGACAGCAAACACCAGAAAACCTCCCTGCCACAGAGGACACCCGGTGTCTGCAGAGATGTCTCTTTGGGAGAAGCAAGGGCTAAAAATAAAGCACAGTCTGTAGAACAACTGTACCAACCAAGAGCTATAGATATACATTGAAAAAAAAAAAGATGTGTAACAAATACCACAGTTGGACACTCAAATCCAGCCTCACACAATCCCACACCTGCTGATGCAAGTGTTAAATGCCAGAAAACTAGAAATTTCCATTTGCCTTTAATCTGCATTTCTCTCTCACAGTAACTTTCACCAAAGCCAAGTGTGATTTTTACAGTGTAGTAATTTCAAGATAGGATCCATACGTGACAGCTGAACGTACACACGTTTGCAGTGCAGAGGAAATGAAGCTCAGCACTCTGAGCTTAAAACAGCAGCAGCTGCTGACAATAAATTGTGTTCATTTGTGAAGTTCAGGGGTACAAACAAAAGCAGAACATCTGGTTTTCAGATGGCTGCAGGAGGGTGGATTTTCCTTGCTCTGCAATGTTTGATTTTTACAGTGCTGGATTAATTGCAGACTTTATTTGCCATGGATGTCTAAGACATTCAAGTCAGGACAAAGTCATCCCGCAGAAAGACAGTCTTGAAACCAGGCATTCTTGGTTCAGACAGTACCATGGGGCGTACATCAGTGAGTTTGCTGTTTCAATCATCATCTTTCTCAGCTTTTGTCTAGCAATTCATTAGTAGCAACTTCTTATCTCTCTTTGTGCTTGCAAATCACATTAAATAGACGGAAAAAACAGGAGGTTATACTGGGACCAAATCAGAAGCAGAGAGCCTATTAATATAGCCTGTATGTATCCACAGTCAAAGATTAAAAGCAGCATTTTCAAACCAACACCTAACACTGCTATTTGTTGTTGTTGTATAAAATTAATCTCACCCACAGAACGCACAAAAAAGTTATTACAGAAGCATCATTTTGGTCTTTGCAATAGAGTAATTCTCTCTAGCATAGA